ATTCTAGGAGCTTAGTTAAGTCACTCACTAACATATTGATCATCACAAGAAAAGCTCTTCTTTCCTAGCAGTCTGGCTTACATTTGCTTCCCTTCTTTGTTCTCTTTCTACTGTGAAGTTGGAACAGCAATTCTTTGAAAATTGAGAGCCAAAAAACCCACCATTAATTATAAAATCACTAGTGGATTTGTGCAAAAATAGTTTAACAAATATTTGAAAGAATTATACACTGTCAAAAATCATTTCAGAAACTGAAATACAGTAGAGGTGCAATTTTTCCAACATGCTGAGAGTGGCAAATGGTCTGGTGTTACTGGAGGATTCTCCATTGAAGAAACGTATCTAAGAGATTTGTGTATGCAATCCTGAATCAATGCATTTGAGTCTTTTGGCATACAGTTTTATTAACATTTACAAGAGTACTGTGCCTTATTTATGTAACCGATTAACAAAAGGAAAGGAATTATGGTCAGATAAGTTCATTAACCACCATCACATACATTGCAGGACTATACACTTTCCTGTATAGCATAAGGAGTTTCTAAAAATTGCCCACTTTTTGTGTGTGTTTGTGGGAGGGGTTTTGCCTCGATGGTTTAGTGCTTGACCCCCTCATAATTTTTCTCTTGTCCTTTAGTTCCTTGCCATATTTTTCTAAACTCCACATTGCTGAAATTGCCTGTTTGCATGCACATCTAGTCATACAGGCATACAACTTAGAAGTTTGATGCCGTCTCATTAATCCTGGGGATTTAGCTTTGTTTTGGTGCAATCAACCCCCGTCTCATACCCTTGAGCTTGAAGGGATGAGCTCTGATTTTCCATGATGCCAATTGTATAGTTTTTAACTTAGTCTAGGGAAGAAATGTGCAGCTGTAGGTCTTGAGATTGAACCCCAGCATCTCTGATGCTGTGAATGTGTAATGATTAACCACCATTGAGTTTCAAGGATAGGAGTTAATAAGCTGTGTGCCTTAGCTTCACACAAGCCTAGACTAGCAAGCTAGTTTTAGACCAAGCTCCTGCCACAAGCTCATCCATAGATAAGGTAATAGTCTGTCACCCAGCACATAACAAACCATAAGTGTGTCAGAGACCGGACTGCACACTGTACTATCTGCATCCTGAGGCCCCTCCACTCACACCTTCCATTTCCTATGGCTAATTTATTCCCCCCCACACACACACATTTGCGTGCTTTGATTTTGCATTTCTTGTATTTCTTTGAACCTCTTGTGCTTGCTGTGTTATGCTCAGACATTTGCTGGTTTGAAAACCTGTTTGGCAGTTACATTGTGTGGTTTTCCATCACTCCTGGATGGGCAACCATGACTTCCTTTTTCTCTTCTGCCAACAAACCCACCTCCCGTTTGTCATTGTGCTTTATCATAAACACTCCAAACCACCCAGCTTTTAATGTGGTTGCCTCCCTATGTTTGTTGTGTATAAACTTTTTGTTCTCCTCTGCATTGTGGGATGTTGACTCTCAAGCTACCAACTCTCAATATCTTGTCATAGTCAAATGGCATAATGCAGAATAACAACAATCAAAATAAAATAGTATAGTAATGTTCTTCCTCCAGGTTCTTATTTCCTCACTAAGTCACTGGCATCCCTGGGTATTTTGCATCAGTTTTGCTAGACCAGTGTAGCTATGCTACTGTAAGTCCTTCGTGTAGATGTACTGCACTTGTGTGATGTAACTTCTTATGTCACTGGGTGCATGCTCCATTTTGCACTGGTGCAGCGTGGTTAAGTGTTTGTACCAGTCAAACTACACTGAAGGGCTACGTCTACACTGGCATGATTTTCCAAAAATACTTTTAACGGAAAAGTTTTCCGTTAAAAGCATTTTTGGAAAAGCACGTCTAGATTGGCAGGATGCTTTTCCGAAAAAGCACTTTTTGCGGAAAAGCATCCGTGGCCAATCTAGATGCAGTTTTCCGCAAAAAAGCCCCGATTGCCATTTTCGTGATCGGGGCTTTTTTGCAGAAAACAGTACTGTGCTGTTTACACTGGCCCTCTTGTGCAAATGATTTGTACAAGAGGTCTTTTGCCCGAACGGGAGCAGCACAGTATTTCCTCAAGAACACTGACGATCTTACATGAGATCGTCAGTGTTCTTGAGGAAATTCAAAAGGCCAGTGTAGACAGCTGGCAATTTTTCCGCAAAATCACATGATTTTGCGGAAAAACTTGCCAGTCTAGACATAGCCAAGCAGTAACACATCTTCTTAGTTGAAGAAGCTCTTAGAGCACAATATTTGCAATAGCCAACCGAACTGGCCTTATCATGTCTGATAACAATGCAGAGAAAGGCTGGTTAAAACTACCACCTGAGCCTTCACCCTGAAGTTGGCAGGTCTCACTCTGTGTCCACTTGCTCTGAAAAGTTTCCTGAAACCTTTACCACAAGTCCCAGGATGTCATCTTCTTAGTTGAAGAAGCTCTTAGAGCACAATATTTGCAATAGCCAACCGAACTGGCCTTATCATGTCTGATAACAATGCAGAGAAAGGCTGGTTAAAACTACCACCTGAGCCTTCACCCTGAAGTTGGCAGGTCTCACTCTGTGTCCACTTGCTCTGAAAAGTTTCCTGAAACCTTTACCACAAGTCCCAGGATGTCCTCA